TAGAAATAAGAAATAAAAAGTAGTCGTTGCATCATTAATATGCTATTATGTTCTGAGAAGGTATATTATTCATCCTCCTAAAAAGGCTAAATTAGTGAAGTGCAAAATGATTTAGGTAACAAAGAAAAAAAAGACGAGGAATCAGATGATAAATTAACATCTGGTCTGCTAACAGGCAACGCTAGTCCATATTTTGTGTTGATTGCGTGATGAAGCGAAAAGATGAGTAGATCGATCTGACAAATTAACGCTTGATGTGGTTGAACTTTACCGAAATGTTTGTACTTATGCAACTTAGCAAAGATCGTTGATTGGCCTCTGCGAAAATGTGTTAAACCAGAGATCCTTCTCATAGTGACCTCAAATTAACATTAAACAAGGAAGGCTAGCTCTCTCTACATACTTCAAACCCATTCGAATTTAATAAAATATTATCATGTGGCTATACTAATTTTGTGTGCACTTGCGTACGCAGAATCGGGTTTCTCTATGTAAAAGCAGAGATAAGATGCCAATTTAAATAGTTTATAGTAAGCTGACTTATTTAAAAATTTACTCATTTATTTCCTAAAAGAACAGACAACCAAGCACAAAATCATTCTTAATTGCATTTAAGTCTAGTACTGAGTGAAGACGATTAGATTGAGCTCAGCGGCCCAAGTATGATAGCTAAGTGTCTTCCTGCGGAATAAATTTGTCTTTTATTCAATCATCCACCTATTAGATGGTGAAATAAAATAATGCTCCAATGAAAGCATCAGTCACTGACACATATTAGGTCTAATGGATTCCAAAATGTACTCAATGACCAGATGTAATATTCCAAACTGATTCGTTTTTTGTCACTATCATGAGCGTGAATAGATGAGATTTGCCCAAGAGTCCAGGATATAGAAAGCCCTAAAAGGAAGGATGATAATTAAATGAAAATAAATGCATATAAGTGGTAGAGTAGGCTAAACAGTATCGATAAGAAATTTCCTATCTAATTATCAAGTAGTATGTGGGGGTGAAAATGATAAAAATATTTTAAAAAATTGGAATAAGTAGTAGTAACAATAGACAAGAATGGTTCTTTAGTTTAAAGCAAAGAAAAGCACCATATCTGACTACCGTAATATTTTACGCTTTTGGGTTAGCGGATAAATGATAGGATGAGTGTAAACAAACTGTGGAATGAGACTCACTCAACAGTGTTGATCGTGCTTTGGACTCGCCCAGGATTGGCTCAAAGATACGCAACAACGGATTTGCCAGCTGATTTTCCAAATAGTATTTAGTGTCTATTGGAACGGAGTGAGTTAACACATAGAGTGGGTCCTCAGCTTTGGCGTATACGGCGGTGCCCTTGCTGCCTACCGCCGTGATCACATAAGGTACACGGTCTCCAAGCTGAGGAGCAGAGCCTGGATCACGGCGACGCATCTTATGTGCCAATTCAACATGAGCCTGTTTTCCCGTATACTCCTCGTCTGTTTTAGTCAACTCCTTCGAGATTACCAATTGCGAGATGTCAATCCGATTGCAAAGCAGGTCGGCAATCACACGTTGTGCATAGCGGATAGCACTTTGTGGATCCCTTTGGTTGAAAAACAAAAAGTTTAAAGTACAAATAATATGCACTAAATAAAGCAATACTTTTCATGAGTCTATCAGTGATATCATTAAATTATAAATTTATTAGTGTTACTGCTATTTCTACGGAAGATAATCATGATACATCTTCATCATAATGGAGATAGATCAATGAACACTATCTGTTATAGTTAAGGACAAATAATCGATTTATCAACATGGCAATATAAGCATATTGGTCGAAGATTTACATAAGCGGGGCCTGATTGTAGAAAATTTAAAGTGCAAAAAATGAATGATGCCACTCATGAAAAGAAGCAAATGCTATGTATATATTCCTAATAATGACTGAAAGAGCCAGGACCACTAATC